GAACTTTTTTGGATAAATACAAAGTGTATTATGTGAATACTAATGCAATATTTAGACTACAACGGTAAGACGGTAAGACTTTACTGATCCTCAGAAGACATTTTATACGTTTATCAGCAACATAAACCTATAAAACTTTGAAACATCAAATCATAAGTCCTCACTGCCACATTACAAAAATATAAGTGCAATGCTTTAATGCTAGCTGAAATGGGCAAAGCACAAGCTAAAAGCATCGCAAAACAAGCTAAAAGCTAAATGCAGCAGAAAAGTAGAACAAAAACATAGAACGGTAGCTAACAGCAACAGAACATTAGGAGCTAAAAGGAGAATAACAGCAGTTAAAAATAGGAGAAAAAAAAACCTAAGTACACTAGAAACATTTATGGGACAGGGCCCTGATGATGATTCAACAGCAGCCTGCAGAAGACAATTTAATCTGACAAATTTTAGTTTTCAAAGTTTACTTATAACAAAAATGAACATAACTATAAACAAATGAACAAAAGAATGTTAGCAAGGTGTATTACACAACAAATATACAAAAAAATAAACATAATAACCACAGTCAGTGACTGATATTGTATTTCAGTGCAGGTGGCAGCTCATCCTGCACTCCACACCACTAGAGGCACTGTTCTACAGGAGACGTCTTTTTCAACCGATTGTTAGATTATTTAAAGATAAAGGCACATTATAAGCTATAATATTCACTGTTTATAGTCATGTGCAGAAGGAGATATATCTGAAACACTTTAAAATGAAAACTGGGTGTGTACAATAATTTTCCTCAAAATACGATAATTTTAAGTCTCTGGTACGATACATCCATATTTCCCATCTGGCAACCCTGCTGTGGGGAGCGTGCAGCCACACTGCTCCTCCCCCCCTCATGTGCTTTGATGCAGGACTGTCATGTCACTCAAGGTATGGGTAATTCAGGCCCTGCAAGAAAGCAAATTGACGGAGGAGTGACATGTTGTTGGAAAACGAAACAGCAGCAAGTATTAAAGTATAGACTATTTACCTATAAAGCTTTTGTATAATCTGTGCTGGGCTTTATTGTCCCCCCAAGATAATAGATGGATTAATAATTTGTGTATTTCTTTCATCAAAGGCTGGCCCCAGCAAAACATTCTCAGAAAAATTTTAGCCTCTGTGCAATTTCTGCTAGTGACTCCTGGCTGACGTAGGGAATAGGCGTCAGTAAAATCACTTCCAAGAAAACTCAACACTCAAGAAACATTTCTGTTTGTCCAAATAATTTGTTTTTACTGTTGTGGATGATTCTGTGATGAACGATTCTTATGTTTGTATAAAGCAAATTAAAACTTCAAATGAAATCAAAGCAGATAATTGATCTTTTTAGTGGCTGACTGATATAAAAAAAATGTTTTATAAGGTGTTAAGTTGCCTTTATGCCTATTCAAACATATACATTTTGTGTGTGTTACTTATTATTGCCATAAAAGCAAGGGTGGAATGATATAGAAATGATTATTTTAATGCTTTTTATGTCAATCTATACCTATATTACACTTATTTAAACACACTTATACTCACTTTTGATGCAGCTTATCTGCTTATTCAGTCATTCCTGTGCTGCAGATGTGTTTTGGAGTAATTAAAGTTCTCTGGGGATGCTCTAACCAGAAGATTGGGCCCAATCTTCAGGTTACAGTGACCCAGGTTTTGAAGGACATGTTTTATGAAACCATCGCTCTGTTGCACAGACTGCTTTGATGAGGGAAAAACAGATTTAATTAAATCTGTTCTCCTGGCAACCATCAAAACTTGCTTTGATCTGCTCTCACGCGATCCGGTCAGGGAAGCCTTTATAAGAAATGTGACGGACAACAGAGAGTTGGAAGTCCGGTGTGGATCAGCACGCGCTGATGCCATGCGCCATTTTGATGTGATTCTTCTTTACCTGGGTCGAAAACGACTTCCCGGCCAGTGTCACGGTGAGAAGTTCTTTCATATCAATTTGTGTGTTAAGAGTGTACATGTTTTTTGCTTGGCTGTTTTCTGTGGCAGGTTAATAAATGACACTTATTACTCCTAGCAGTGACAGCCTCCTCTGTGTTTTATTTTTCCTTCTGGTCTGAATATCTGTGCCGACCGTTTCACGAGCCCTTTTGATAAAGAATTTCATAATACACTGACTGAAAAGATCTGAGTCAAACTCCGGTGTTTTGTAAAGGATAGAGAAGTGAACCAGCGATCTGAAGTCAGAGAGTCAGAGTTTCTTTATTGTCATACACACCACATGTAGTGCATATGGTGGAACGAGATTATTTACTCTGGGTCCCAGTTACATCGAACAATAAAATATACTTTGTAAAAGAAAAACAGCAATGAGATCTAAGATATGAACTAAGAAAAATATCAACTAAATATACACTAAGCACTAATAGCATAAAAACAATGTGCCAAACAGCATCATGAACATGAGTCTGTGTGAGCAGATGAGCACGAATTAACACATCAACATGAAACAGATCAGCAGCAACATGAAACAGATCAGCAGCAACATGAAACAGATCAGCAGCAACATGATGAGATTTTTCACAGTGATTATTCTGGTTAGAGATTCATGAGTCTAACAGCCTCAGGGTAGAAGCTGTTCCTCAGTCTAGTGGTTCTACACTTAATGCTCCTTAACTTCCTTCCTGAGGGGGGCGGGGCAAAAAGTGTGTGTGCTGGGTGAGTGGAGTCCTTCATGATGCAGGTGGCCCTCTTCCTGCATCTGGAGGTGTAGATGTCTGTGATGGTGGGGAGGCTGACTCCAACAGACTTCTGTGCAGCCTTCACCACTCTCTACAAAGCTTTTTCCTAGTGATTACTGATTTTATTGGATTTTCTCTTTTGTAAACCTATCGATGAAAGACATTAGTAATTTCATAATCTTGTACTGGTGTCATCTTAACTATGTCTGACTATCAGTTACTGATACCAAATCATTGCCTGGCTATTATTTTGTTCACTGATGTAGTGAAGCATCATACTAAGTACTTCTTGAGGAACAAATCATTACTTAATCACTACCTGACCATTACTTACTGGTTTGTTCCTGTGGTAACAAACCAGTAGTCCCCTAATAAGGCATGGCTGTGTTTCCCTGTTTACGTACTTGTTAAATACCCATTAGCTCCTGATTTGTTCATCTTTGGTTTCCTTAGTAACTACTTATTAGTTCTTGGGTAGCTCCTCTTTATTTACAAGGTAACTAACCAGTAGTTCCCTAATTAAGTTTGGTTGTGTGTTCCCCAGTAAGTACTGGTTAAGTAACCACTAACTCCTGATTTGTTCTCTTGGTGTTCCCTAGCAGTTAATCCAATTTTGTGTACCTTATACTAAATTGTTACCAATTCATCTATAAATCCCAGAGGACTCGACTTACATAACAGACATGTGACTACAAGCACTAAGACATATATTAAACAGTTAGTTACAAGGTATTTATAGATTATATTTCTATTTAAAATAATGAAAAAAAAAAGCTTTATGTGGTTTTTCATAAAAAGGCTATTTTGATTTTTATTTAAATAGAATTAAATGTGTTTAAATGGTGGTGGAATCAAACGGTTTTAATGCACTGATACTGTATTAAATCTGTGGACATTCGTTTAACTTTAAGTCTCAAACATTTACCTAATTTGTAATGCCAAGATTCAACTTGTCTGCTGGATTCCTTAGAAAGAGAACTTTACTAATTGGCTTTTATGTATGTGAATGTTTCTGTAAAGTGCCCTGAGACAACTTTGTTGTGATTTGGCGCTATATAAATAAACTGAATTGAATTGAATTAATGTCCCATGAGTGACAGAATGTTGTTCAGTGTTAATGAAAGGGACATAAATCATGTCCATTTATCTGTCCTGTTGCAGTAACAGCTGAAATCATCTGACTATTCAAAATAGGAAATAGTTCATTGGAATGTGAACAGAAATAATCTAAAAAGTTAAGTCTGGTCCTCTGTACATTAAACAAACAAACAAACAAAAAACACGCACACACAAAAATGCACACACAAAAAAAATCCCACCCAAAAATTGTTGAAACTTTTGTTTTTCATCCAAAAGACTTCTTCAGTCTGACTGAAGAAGTCTTTTGGATGAAAGACGAAACATTTCTACATTTTTTTGTGTGTGTGTGTGATTTTGTGTGTTGTTTTGTTTTTTGAATGTCCAGAGGACCAAGCTTAACTTTTTTAGATTTTTCTACCTGGATTATTGAGCATGCATCAGGATGAACAGAAATAACTTTTTCAACACATTAAATTCCATTAGCTCGTCATTGAAGCCTCACACACACTTTTTTAATCAGGTTGTTAATAAAAGGAACATATGTTGAAGCTTCATTAACTTGTTTTTCATGCTGTACCCTTATCCCCAAATTATTTTTCTGTTTTCCAGAGTAGAATTTGTGCAACATAGTAAAAGTTCACGGCAAAGGGGGTTTACTTATTATTTTTTAGATAATCAAAGTGTGTTCTAATTCTAAAAGATGTTGATGCTCTAAAAGCAACAGGCTAATATTGATACTTCTATTGCTCATGGGTATTTATTGTTTTTCAAAGCTACATATAGATTAACCTTTTATCATAAATGTAATATCTTATACATTTTCATGTTCTCCCTGAACATGTGTGTGATTTTTTTTTTCTTCCAAGTCTCCAGATTGTCTCTCGTTGTCCAAGAACATTGCTGTTAGGTTAAACTGTGTGAGTGTGTGTCCCTGTGTCAGCACAGTGATGGACAGGAGACCTGTCCAAGGTGTGCCCCGCCTCTTGCCTTTTTTTGTAGACTGAACAGAACGAAACTGATTCAAAACTTGTGAGAGCGAGAACTGTTGAACTTTTTCAAACCAAAACGCCTCTTGGTAGCACATTTCACATTTGAAATCTTCATTAATTTATTATAAAAGTGGCACAAATCATCACGAGAAGATCTAAAAACAAAACACTTGCAGTCATATATGTATCACACACATTCAATTGAACTTTCAGTAGATTTGCCAATTTTAATACAAACAGTATACAATGAAACAAAATACACGAGACGTGTATACTTCAAAAAAATCTGAACACAACACCATCAAAAGTAAAATCGTAAATGAAATCCCTCACATACGTATCACTCTAAACAAATATTAATTTTACACAGCTTCCCTCTTTGTTTTATGGCACATTCTGCTATTTTGGCTTTGCCTTCCGAGCCTGAAGTGAACTCCGTCCAGCTAAAGGCTGGGATCTGTTACTAAGTTGTTGGGATGCAAATCTTTGCTGAGCTTTGACAACGAACCACATTCATTTGCTTTGTTTATTTTTTTTAACTTTATGACATTTTTTTTCTAAGTTTCTGTGCCGACTTTACAACAACGTGTAAAGAAATTCATCAACCAACTGTGAAAATCTTCCCATCGGTGTTAAAAACACGTACAGTACACGCATGTCTGATCCTAGACTTCTACAAAACACACAGAAATGTTGCTCCATCTCGTGAGCATCTTACTTTTGTTTTGTGTTTTAAATGTTCACCTCCGTATAAATTTCATGACAATGTACAGATGATCAGGATACAGGTATTAAAGGACACATAATAAAAGTTATGATTCTTCCTAATCTGTCTTTAGTCCTTTTCCCTCACACGTAGTCTTTTCTGTTGTAGGAGCTTTGAGCCGTGGACCTCGGAGCAGCTGAGTATCCCATTCGACTCTGAGGGTTTACGCTGTACCTCAAGGTTTTCTCTTCCTGCGGAGGGCAACTGCAGCAGAGAATGGCCCCACCAACCAAAAGCAAACCTGCGGCGGCCCATCCCAGATACAGCGCAGCGCCAATCTCCATCTTCTGCCCAGAGGGGACGACTGGACTGTAGAACTCCATGATGATGGTGTGTGCTGACCAGGAAACGGGTACAATCTGTGCCAGAGCTGCTGCAATGAACCCTGCACCAGACGAGATCATCACCTTGGCTTTGACTCCCTCTTCTTCGATGCAGTTAGTGCACTTGGCTCCTGTCATGGAAATGAGGAGCGCCACCGCTCCCACGACAATGGCGACGACAGTGAGTGCCCTGGCGGCCTGCAGGTCTTGAGGAAGAGCCAACATGGAGTCATAGACTTTACACTGCATCTGCCCTGTGCTCTGAAACACACAGCTCATCCAAAGACCTTCCCAGTACACCTGAGCTGTGACAATGTTGGCGCCAATGAAGGCTGAAACCCTCCACATCGGCAGGGCACAGCTGACGATACTCAGCATCCAACCCAGCACCGCCAGACTAATGCCGGCCAGCTCAAGTCCAAACGAGCCCATTCTGTAGCTTCTGTCTGTTCCACCTCAGAAAGCAAGTTTTTCTTTCTTCCAGTCCTCCTTTGTTCTTTCAGCTTTTAATTTTTACCCAATACCAGCACACCTTCTTTGTCCTTCAAACTACGCTTTGCTGACTCCTCGCTCCAACAGGTGAGTCTTCTTTTGGAAATTGAACCACTTTGCCAGTTAATGAATTGAAAAAAGCTCCCTCTACAAACGCAACGCGTGTGTGCCAGCTCAAACGTTTTCCAAGGAACTGCTGCTTTCAGTGCGTCCATAAACTTTTGTATCATTTTGTCACCAAGAGCACTGACCCTCCTACAGTAGATGGCTTCACCTGTCAGAGCAAGCCAATCAGGTGCCTTCTGAGCACTGACTTCTTTTATAACCTGGGTGTTGGTGGTGTTTTTTAGTGCATTTTTCAAATGAATGTCTTTAAGGATTGACCTTTTGCCCATGGTAGCTCTGGGCGTGCTGGTTTTATTGCAGGCAGTAGGTAATGATTGGCCAAGGCAGACCTTGTTAGGTGGCTGACAGATCCTCACATGCAACCATTTGAGATGCACAAACAAGCTTCACAAAGGATGTGTGTGCAAGAAGTGTTTGTGTTGGGGCACTGAGTGTGACTGGGTTTAAAGAAGGAATGGGGCGATAAAGAAAAAAAACATCTTATTTTAAATGTGAGCGCTCTTGTTTTCAATTGTTTTTATTTTAAATTTTTTGTTTAGTTTATTGTCATGACTAAAACCTGATGCTCCAATTTTAAGTGATGAGATGTGTGCAATCTCCACTGGGTCACACAGCAAATCTCTAGTTAATGACAAACTAAAAATGACTAAGAATATACTTTATAGATATTTAACTGTGGCCCCTTGTACTTTTGCAATATCTTTAGCTTCTAAATGAAGCAGGCAATATTTTTGTTTTGAAGAGTTTGTAAAATTTAAGTTTATGGAGACTTCGAACCAATAAAAGACTACACAGAGCTCTTTTAGGTGTTCTCTTCTTTGGGGTTGCCACAGCAAACAAACTTGATCCAAAGGTAAGGCAATAGTTTTAGGCTGGATGTCCTCCCCATCACAACCTGGTCTTGAACCTGTAGCTTTAGGATTACAAACCTGGACACTGACCTCTGAGCTATAGCAACCTCCAACAAATGAAAACATAAAAACTAAAAAACACGAAAATCACAAATCTTCTCCCATATCTCTAGGGGAGAATAATAAAAACAGCTACATTGATAAACATACTTTCAGGTTTGATTCAATACCAAAATAAAGTTCATTTTCAAAATAATATAAATAAAATCTATCAATGTTTTGTCCAGTATTATAAACTTTGATTGGGACTTTAATCTTTTTTCCCTTTTCAGTTAAAGTAGAACATTACAATTTACTGACACCTCTGATAAGGCTTAATTTATGGCGTCTTGTTTATCTCGGTTTAGACATATTTGAATCCCTATCTTGTCCTGAATCACCGAATTAATAAAAACATTCATATATACAGAAACATTTGGCAATTTACCATATCTCTTCTCTTGATGTATTTGTGGTGTCAATCTAGAATTCTCCAGATCTCTCCGGTCTTAGTTAAAGTGGTATTTTAGATAACTACTCATCTCCTTCATTTTCTGATAACATTGCCTTTAATATATAAATTTTTATAGCCTTGAAGATGAGGGTCTCTGAAATGGGATTATATCAGCATAGCAATGAAACAAAAGACCATGTTTCCTCAGGTAAGACCCCAAGGGGAGAGGACACAGTGAAAACAGAAGAGGTCCAAGAATAGAGCCTTGTGGGACCCAGTAGTGATAGAATCAGAATCAGTTTATTATTGCCATGTCAATGAACGAGGTTCACAAACTAGGAATTTGCTTCGACATAAAGGTGTGAATAGTAATGTGTAAAATAAAGTAAAAATGAAAACATAACATAAAACATGTGTACACCCATAAAGTAAAAATGAAAAACATAACATAAAACATGTGTAGACCCATAAAGTAAAAATGAAAAACATAACATAAAACATGTGTACACCCATAAATAAAGTAAAAATGAAAAACATAACATAAAACATGTGTACACCCATACAATAGAAAACAATAAAAAAAAAAGCTTAGAAAACAGTACAGATGGAGTATTCAATTATAATACAGATGTAATGTGACCAAAGCAGAAATTATGAGGTAACATGAGTGTTCAGGAGTCCAACAGCAGAGGGGAAGAAACTGTTCTTATGGCGGGAGGTTCTGGTCCGAATGGACCGAAGTCTCCTGCCTGAGGGGAGTGGTTCAAACAGTCCGTGTGCAGGGTGAGCAGGGTCAGCTGTGATCCGACCTGCTCGCCTCACAGTCCTGGAGACGTACAGGTTGTGGAGGGATGGAAGGCTGCAGCCGATCACCTTCTCAGCTGAGCGCACAACGCGCTGCAGTCTGAGTCTGTCCCTGGCAGTGGCCCCGGCGTACCACACCGTGATGGAGGAGCTGAGGATGGACTCGATGATGGCCGTGTAGAACTGCACCATCAGCTTGGCCGGCAGCTTGGCCTTCTTCAGCTGTCGCAGGAAGTACAGTCTCTGCTGGGCCTTCTTGATGAGGGAGCTGATGGTCGGCTCCCACTTGAGGTCCTGGGTGATGGTGGTGCCGAGGAACCGATAAGAGTTCGCAGTGGTGATGGAGGTATCATTACAGGTGAGGGGGGGCAGAGGAGCTGTGGCTTTCCTGAAATCCACAATCATCTCCACTGTCTTCCGGGCATTGAGTTCCAGGTTGTTGATAGTCTCATTAAAATTATGGACAAAGTTATTAAGCAAACAAAAACCTTTATTTTGTTTTTTCCAAAAACCTGGCTAAAGCAACAGGATCCTGTTATTAATGAGTAAGTCGCTCTCTAATATATTTTCTAAATTCCTCGAAGCACAAACTGACAAGGGGTGGCTGCAATAAATTAATAGGGTTTCCTTATCAGCTGAACACTCATTATTAGGTCATGTTATTCAACCTGGGAAACTGAACTCAACCTGGTTTGAGCTGTATTGTGCATCTAACTCTCAAAATTTCTCATCCTAGATCTACTGAATCCTTCTGGCATCATAATTTATTAGTTTTACATGTCTTTGGCAGACTGACTGCATGTTTTGGTTCCCAGCAACACCAAGCAAATAGTCAATATATAGAAGTGTTAAGAAGCAATATGAAGAAAAAAATAACCACAAGAAATTATAAAAATGTCCTAAAGGAAACATTGTGTCTTGACTAAATTATATTTCTCTACTATTCAAGCAGGCAAAAAATATAAACTGCACAGTTAGATTTAAATTGAGGCTAGATTATTTATTTCCTTCCAGAAAACACTGATCATTTCCTTCAAGTGCTTTTATTTTATCACAGTTGCTAGTTTGACTCATTTCTAGCAGCTATATTGGAATAATAACAAAGCATGAAAATGTGTACACTATGCTAGATAAGTGTGTCAGACTGTGGTTGAACTAAAAGTCCCTTCACCAATCATGAGCTTAACTCTTGAGACATCCACTATTATGGATATAGTTTGCCACATTCCTAAAGTCAGATATCAAACAAGAAAAAAATGTAGTTGGAAATTTTCAAGGTTGTTCATGACATTTAAAATTACAAGGTAGTTGCACCTGATTTGAATCATGTTTGACGGAGTAAAACCCAAGATGCAGACAAAACTCAACAGGAGATCGAAGGTAAAATAAGAAAACTGATTAATTTACAAAATCAATATGTTGATGTGGCAGTAAAGGTATGTACAAAAGGAAAACTCTGGGAAACAGGAGGGAGCAAATGAAGAGTGCATAATGCATGGACAAGAAAATGACAACAGGACACAGAAATATAAAGGTAACACTAATAAACATAAAGACAAACACCTGGAGAAGAAATGAACAGGTGGGGCAAGAGCAAACAGCAAAACACAGGGGACACAGAAACACAAGTAATCTGAACACAAGAATCACAGAAAATCTCAAATAAAGTACAAAATCCTCACAGTTTATCACATACTTAACTATTATTTTGACTATTTTGCAGTACTGAAGATATGAAACTATCAATATAGTCAACAATTTGTGAACAAACTGTTTACTGACCTGAGAAAATGGGTCATTTCCTCAGAAAGGATGAACAATTCTATATAAATTAAACCTACATTTGCAATCGGACAGAGCATAATTATTTTTGTTTCATTCAGGACATTTAAATACACATTATTATTAAAGCAGACATGTCCAGTAGTTTATGAGGGTTTATTGTGATTTTGACTTTCAGCTATTTTATGATTCAGTGCATGAAATGATTAAAGATAATGTTGATTTATCTAAATTAAATATCAACTCAAAGTAAATGTTTGATTTTATAGGAAAGATTTGTTCTTGCTTCTGCATTTGTACACTCAAACCGATCATTTTATTAATTATTTAATTTGTAACAAACAGAATAAATCTGATATTTTGGCTCTCGACTCGGTTGCGATCTTATTCAGTCCAATTCAATTACTGAGTTCTGTTCTACTCATTAAACTCAAGAGACAACATGTTCTTCACAACAAAGGGAAAAATAAAGTATAAGATTTTTTATTTTGGCTAAATTAAAGCCATGTTGTTATTATTATTCATAGGAGCAGATATTTAATCCTAGTCCTCTCGTCTCGTCTCTTTTTCTACTGACGGTGAACTCACCCGGGCGAGTTTCGCTGCACGGCGTTATCTCTCCCGAGAGCTGATAATTGAGTTTCAGTTAGCAGAAGGATTATCCATCCCTTTGTTTACTTTTGTGCCTCGAATGTTTCCTGATTGAGCTCCATCCCATCTTCTGCTGCAGTAAAAGACACACAAAACAAATCTACCATGCTCAAAGTGATGTGAGGAATGGTATTTTAGATTCAAAATTTGAAAACCAGTCTTATCTGTTTGGATAAATGCCAAGATAAATTCAGGTTGTGACTAAACTGGGTCTGAAATAACGGCCATCTCATGATCACAGTGACCTAAATACAGACTGAAAGGTGGCCATAAACATATTACTGCTAAAGGAAGTGCTGAAGCAGTGATGAGAAGAGCACAGAACACGTTGATCATGTTACCATACTTGTCGCCGTACACGTCACACTGCTGTATAAGTCGTATCGGTCCAAAGATGTATAATAAAGTGGGAAAAAAAACATAAATACATTGCTTCGCTGTATAAGTTGCATCTATTATGCGTCACCGCTGACAACCTGGAAACGTGGGCAGGT